AAATCCACAGATTTATCGTGTGCATATTACAAGATTCTGTTCTGTGCCAAAAGTATCTATTTTATGTTGTTTAAGTTTAGATTATTAATTGGAGACAGCTCTAATCTTTTACCTGCTGAAATCAGTGATGATGGCGACTTTTCTCCCAACTCAGATGATGATAGGACGTACTTACCCCAAAAAAGAAACGCCGCCGATCTACTTCGACTTCATCATTCTCATCTTTATCTAGTTCTTCTTCTTCCTCTACTACTTCTTTATCAAGTACGTCGTCTGATTTGCCTACAACCTCTAAAGCTAATCAAGGTATCATTATTCATGATACCGAAACTTCTGCAAGCAATGTTTATCTTTCAAAAACTGATGAAGCCAAAGTAATTAATTGCAGGATAAATAACGACCTAAATTACCAGTTACCTGAAGTTACTAAAAATGACGAAAATCTTACAAATGACCAAACTGCTCATAATTATGTCGGCAATGATGTCGAAGAAAATTTTGCAAATGATGTCTCTGGCACGCTGCTAAATGACGATTTTTTGGAACGAGATTTTGACAATAATTATCGAGTTAATAATGTAGCTCCTACAGCTTCAAATTCTCAGTTAGATGACCAAAGTACTCAAGCTCACGATGACAATCATGCCGTCAATTCAGCATCTAATGGCAAGGATAAGCCAAATAAGGAGAAGAAAAAGAAGCCGAGGTATGCCAGTATTGCGAAGAATTTAAGAAATGCCGGTCAAGAATATATTTCAACTTCCAAAACAAAAAAGGTTTTTCCGGCAAAAATTCTAAAACAAACTTGTGGAAATAGCTGTCGGCTGAAATGCTCAGACAAAATATTTGGAGTGTCAAGGCAAAAACTGTTTGATGCTTACTGGGCTATGGCTTCCTTAGACCGACAAAGAGAATACATAGCTCGTAGTATTCAAAATATTATCCCGAAATATCAATACAAGAAAATGAATTCAAATAGGAAGGCAAAAAATGCTTTTTATTTTAAAATAAATAGTACCAAAACCAGAGTATGCAAGACATTCTACAAAAATACACTAGATATAACTGACAGGTATATCAGAACTGTACTGAAAAAAAAAGATTCTTTTACTGGTATTCTAGAAGGTGAAAAGAGAGGAAGACATGAAAATCACAGAAAGTTGTCTATAGATTTGGTAGAAGGAGTAAAAAACACATAAACAGCATCCCTCGAATCGAGTGCCATTACTTGCATCAGCAAACCTCGAAGGAATTCATCGATGGTGGAAAAACAGTAATGGATCTTTACCCAGACTACAAAGACAATTTCATAGAGCAAGGACTACCCTATGTTATGGTACATTCGTATCGAAAAATTTTCAACGAAGAATTTAATATTAGTTTGTTCATACCTAAAAAGGACCAATGTGAACAATGCACAATATATAAGCTGGCTGAAGATTCCAGAAAGTAAGCTTTGAAGGAAGATTATGACCGCCATTTAGCAGAAAAACAAAAAGGTCGCGAAGAAAAAGCTAGTGACAAAGAGAAAGTGACAGATTGTTTTATCGTTGCATGCTATGACTTACAAGCGATAATGACGGTTCCTAAAGAAGACGTATCAACATTCTATTATAAGTCCAAAATAAATTGTTTGAATTTTACCATATCGGAGTTGAAAACAGACAATGTTGAATGTTACTTTTGGGATGAATCTCAAGGCAATCGTGGAGCCAATGAAATGGGTAGCTGTGTTTTGAAGTTTTTGCAGAAGAAGTCTTCTTTCGCTAATAAAGATCTTGATATAGTCTTCTATTCTGATAACTGCTGTGGCCAACAGAAGAACCAGTTTATCATTGGAATGTACGTCTGTGCGGTATTAAATCTCAAAGTAAAATCAATAACCCATAAGTTCTTAATCCGAGGCCACACACAAAATGAAGGGGACGCAGTACATTCAACGATTAAGAAGGAAGTAAAAAAAAGTCTTAAATCTGGACCCATTTACGTACCTTCCCAATACGTCTGTGCCATCAGAAGTTCGAAAAAACGTGGGACGCCGTACATTGTAAATGAGATGGTATACGAAGATTTTATGGATTTAAAACAACTGCCAGTTATTAAGCTGAATAGGAGTGTTGATGGTGCGGTTATAAAGTTGTCTGATATAAAAGTCATTAAAATTGAAATGAACATCATGAATGAAAATAAAATATTCTATAAAACGTCTTATTTTGATGACTTCAAGGAACTTGATTTGGCAAAAAGAACATCCAGAAACAGCCGACCTCAAGAACTTAAACCATTGTACCACCAAAAATTGGATATATCCGAAAGGAAAAAAAATGACGTGAGGAGTCTTGTGGATGCGGGGTTGATTCCTGGATATTACCGATCCTACTATAAAAGTATTTTTAATTGAAAATGTAATAGCTCTTAAGGGGACAGTCTCATGCGATTCATAAAAAAAGACGCATTTTAAAATTAAAGCAGAAAAAAAAACTATAATATTTATTAACATAATTCCTTTTGGAGATAATTTAGTAAGTCTTAAAGTACATAAAAAAAATTTTTAATAGCGATTTTAACTTCATTGGTGTCCTGTAGATGGCGTGTAGTAAAAAGTGCGTTTTTGGTGGTAAGACAATTTGTGGGTCACCTGTAACAGATATTAAAAAAATTCAAAATGGGTTGTATTCGTAAGACTCAAAACTAGATGATAAACCTTTAAAATATGCAAATTGTATTATTTTGAAGAGTTTATACGAATTTTTTCAAAAAAGTCGAAAAATCACTATATTTTTCGGTGGATTTACCCATATATAATAAAAGGGAGGGTGGTTTTTAAATAGTTTAAAGGTTTATCATCTAGTACTTTCTATATACATTCGAAAAAATTTTGGTTTTTTAAAATCGGTTAAGAAAGTTCGGAGAAAAGTGTCTGACCAGTTTGAAAATGTTACTTTTGAGAAAAAAGCATTTAAAGTTTTTTTTACATATTTTCGTGAATAAAAGGCTGATAACTTTATACTCACGTTTAATCGGCCATTCCTGGTGAATATTGAGGACCGTCTTCATCCAACAGTTGTTGTAAATGGCTTTTTTAAGCTGTAAATTTCAATACAACGTCGCAATGCTTTATAATTAATTCATTTGTTTGACTGGAGTCTCACTCTCAATTTACGCCGCGATGCTGCCAGTGTAAGTGTAAAAACGGAACAGACCTAGATCGCTTGTCAATTCAACGAAAACGTACTTATTTATAAATGTAGATATGAAAATATTTTATAACTAAAAAAATGGTTATTTTATTGCCAAAACGGTTTGAAAAAAAAAGTTGATTTCTAAAATTAAAAATAAGAAGGAATTTTAAAAATAATATTACACTCTTTTTAATTTGAAATTATAAACAATATTTGGATTAATAAATGTATTTAAGTATAAATTGTATAACTCAAATAATACCTAATCAACACAAACAAAATTGGTGTTAATAAAACATTATTTATTATCTGCACAAAACCGGACTTTCAGGAAAAATCGGTAGACGGAGCAACACTGTCGGCGTACCATATACGCTACTATAAACCGCTGAGGAGAAGTGGAACTATAAATCCAGTGGAACAAATAAATTAGTTATAAAACATCGCGACGTTATAAAGAAACACTGGTTAATTGCAACGCAGAGAATCTTAGTATTTGTAAAAAATCCTATGTTCCGGATTTAAAATTCCAAATGTGTATAGTAACTGCCAAACGTTATACTGGTATAAATACTATATACAATGAACCACTAATACATACCCAACCTATATACAACATATATACAAAAGCAAGAACAGCTGGAGCCTCGCGCTCGCCGCGCGGAGAGAAACCGGTTTTCATACGTGCGTAGATGACGTTAATAAAATAACTATAACTTATATTATAGTGGGAATTTCTTTTTAAAATTTTAGGAGGGAGTTTTTGAATGTAAATTGAAGCGATTTATAAAAAAAAAATTAAAATTGATTTTTTGAAAGTTCCGCATGAGACTGTCCCCTTAAGTATTATCACATTTTTACAAATGCCCATTTGCATTTTTTGTTACGATTCATTTATTTTCTTAGTTTATTTTAATAGTCTTAAAATATTTTATTTTAATTAAAACATTGCGTGGTATTGTCGTGACTGATTCGAGTAAGACTATATTTTGTCGTATATACAAATAAATACTTTATTCATCTAAAATTAGTTTTTATTTTATTCCTGACATTCATTTACTCAATTGGAGTAGTAGAATAGTAGAAGAGTTAATGAATTAACTATGCCATTAAACAAAAAATAATTGATTGTATAAAAACAAAAGTGGCACTATACTGAATTTTTTTTTTCAAATACCTTTTTTTTCAACAAACACTAGTTAATTTATTTAAAAGTTATTTTATACTGAAAAAGAGATAATTAAATTATTATTTAAAACTAATCACATTGCTTGTTTTCAATTTATTTTTAAGTATGGGCATAAAAATCATGTTAAAAAACTTTAAACAGCTATACTGTAAAATTGAGTTTTTTATATAGTGCCACTTTTGATTTCAATGTGCGGTATGTTAAAGGAAAGTTGGGACTCTAGGATTAAGGTACTAGTACACTTTTGGTGTGCAAAAAGGCATAATTTCAATAACTTTTTTCTTGACTGCTTGAGTATATTATAAAATGCATTTTTTTTCAAAGTTTATATAATTCTGGGACTGGATATTTTTTTTTTATTTTCCATAGTTTTGCCATTTAATCGAGGGCGCCAAATTCAGGACCAAAAAAATTTTTCATCTATAACCGACAGTTAATTTGATTTCGAGAAAAACGCGTTTAAAGTTTTTTCTTGTATCAGAGAGACTTGTAAGAAGACTTAAAATATATGTTAATCTATAATCTTAAATATAATATAATCTGTACTAAAAATATATAGTTAAAGTTTTTTCTATGAAACAGCTGAACTGTTACAACTAAAAAATATTTCAAATTGACTTTTTTTTCAGCCGTTTATGACGACACAATCACTGAAGCCTTCGTGCGGACAGTTCATCGATTAGTAACTTCTTCTCCTTCTCCTTCTGGCAAAAGAAGCGTGTATATAGCTCTTGAGAAGCGATTCGTTTTTACGTTGTCCGACTGCGACACTGTAGCTCCTTGCTATGAGTATTATCTAAAATGTCTGGACAAGTTGACAGGCGTTAAGTGCGAAGAAGTTTCACTGGCTTTTCCGAAGTCCTTCGAGTACGATAGGGTCAAGGAATTGGTATTGTGGAAAGTGACGTCTGTGTAGCATCTGCTTGTTAAATTGTTATGTCCACATACATATTTTTATTTAATAAATTACAAGTTTCTCAATTTTGTTTCATTAAAAATTGTAAATAAAATTATAAATAAAAACATAGACCAAACATGTGTTTGGCCTCTTTACTGAAGTTATACTTCTATACGCGCGCTTGACGTTGGAAATTTGTACGGGAGTGAATCTGTAAAATCATTACATATGTAAGATATGAGTAAAAGAAAGACAGAAGATTTTTTTTTTTTTTTATTTAATTAATGGCTTTGGATAACTTGATCCATTCAGCCACGATAATGTATTTGACTACTTGAATTTGTTAATGATGTATTGACCTATTGCATTTGTTAACAAAATAGTACTTCGCATAGAGGTAAATTAAAAATATAATGTAAACATTAGTATCACAAGAATCAGTAGCTTGATAAAAAACCGTACATTCATTCGTTCCATTCAATGCCCTAACCAACAATATTTAGGACCCACAAGGGATTACATAATTTAGGGATACTTTTCACGCTAAGGTGCCTTTCATAGCGACTTTATAACAACACAAGACAGGCAACGGTTAGAAGGAAACTATATAACATAAGGATAGACAGAGGGAACAAAGCTAGATTTACACATTCACATTACACAATCAATCCTAAATTTTTCTTTTAGTCCTTTTTAAATATTCCCAAAAAATTTGGTTAAACTTAATATTATGACGAGAGATATATAAAATGGAAGATTGACACTGAGGAAGAGGTATTTGTTCTTTTATCAGTTTTTCCAATAGATACTTAATAGCAGCTTCATTATATATGCACCCGAACATCCAATGATTGATATCGTCAGTGTTACCATTACAATCACAAAGTTCGGTTTCACTTAATTTAAATCTATGAAGATAGGCTTTCACAGTAGCATGATTAACAAGGCATCTAACAAACATTGAATATACTCTTCTATTGGGATGACTTCTTGCAGCAAAAGGCGCAGTAGGTAAAACAGGGTGAATTTTTGTGTAAAGGTTGTTACTTCTGTTACAAAAAGCATTCCATTCAATTTCCCAGTTTTCTTTTAATTCTTGTTTACGCAGCGAGACTAAATCACTTCTATTGAGCCAGCTAATTTCTAATCCGTTTGAAGCCGCTTCTTTAGCAAAAGAATCTGCTTTGGTGTTACCCGAGATACCAGCATGTCCTTTTACCCAAATGAAAGAGACTGAATTATTTCTTTCAAGTAGCTTTAGTTGATGTTCTAATATTTTGACGATAATACTGTTTTTGTATAAATGCTTATGCGAATTATCTAAAGCAGACAGCGCAGATTTTGAATCCGACATGATTACTATTTGTTGATCAGACATTCTTTTCTAAATAGTCCATTCCAGAGCTTGATATATTGCAAACAGTTCTGCGGAATAAATGGAACATTGTTGGTTTAATTTAAACTTAATGTGTTCTTGATTATTTTGGATATATACCGCACAACCAACTCCCAAAATGGATTTTGACCCATCTGTGAAAATCCTATATGGCTTATCAAATTTGGCAAGTTGTTTCTGAAGTTGAATGGCGTTGTTATCATCAAAAGTAGGAAAATAAACTTTGGTTTGGGAATAAAGAATATTGAAATTAGATTGGAAAAAATTAGTTTCAGCTGGGATTTCTAAATAGGAAGAAACATTAGGAAATGCTATAGCTAAAGTTGGAGAATTTTTGTTATGCCACCATTTGTCAACTAAGTTAGACACAGATATGTCGGATATTTTTTGCAGTAGGTAGGATTGGTTATTACTTTGACATTTAAGGATAAACTTTTCAGCTAAAAAAAGACGTCTTAAATGTAATGGAGGTTCCATACATTCGGCTAAAAGATTTTCAGTAGGTGTAGATTTAAGTGCACCTAAAACCAAACGTAGAGCTTTGTACTGGATTCGGTCTAATTTTTTAAGTCTAGTGTTTGTAGCAGACCCATATAAAAAGCAACCATAGTCAAGAACTGACCTGGTATATGCCCTATAAAACATTAGATTAACCTTAGGATCAGCGCCCCATTGGTGACGGTTAACTACTTTTAAAACATTTAGGCTTTTTTCGCATTTAATTAAACAGTTATTAATATGTTCTTCCCATGTTAATTTAGTATCAAGTGTGACGCCAAGATAAGTATAGTGTTTTTGGACAGGTATACTTAGATTATCAATTATAATGCTGGATATATTCGGTAAGCGATGACGAGTAAACAACACCACAGCTGATTTATTCGAAGTAAGTTCCAATCCTTGGTTAAGAAAGTATTCTCTTGCACTGTACATAATTCGTTTCATGGATTTAATACATTCCTGATAAGTATTTTTAGAACTGTAAAGACAGAAATCATCGGCGTATTGTAAAATATTACAATTAATTCCCATACCATGTAGATCCATAGTATATAGATTAAACAAGAGAGGACTAAGCACAGATCCCTGCGGCAGACCTTGATAAACTAACCTTGGACCAATCAATTTATTATTGCACCGAATGAATACTTGTCTATTTACAAATAGATTAACCAGTACCTGTGCACATCTAGTTGGGACTCCTATATGTCTTAGTTTCTCGAAAAGTAAGTTTAAAATAACATTATCATATGCTCCCGAAATATCTAGAAAAAGTGCTGCTAAATAATTATTATTTGAGTAGGACAATTGGATGTCAGTAGTTAATTGTGATAGACAATCTATGGTTCCTTTATTTCTCCGAAAGCCTAACTGAGCTACCGGGAATATGCCATTTTTTTCACACCACCACTCCAATCTAGTTTTAAGGATCCGTTCAAGTGTTTTTAATAGACATGACATCAGAGAAATGGGTCTTAAAGAAGTACGATCATTTATTTTAGGTATAGGAATGACCAGACATTGCTTAAGAGAATCACAATTATCTCCTTTTAGTAAAATGTTATTAAATATCTTGCATAGATAATCTATAGCAATTTCGGGAAGATTTATTAACATGAGATAGTTTATACCGTCCATACCTGGAGATGTATTTTTTGAAATTTTAATGTTTGCTGTAAGTTCCCTCGGAGTGATAGGAGTGAGTAAAAAGTGGGCATCGATATGATTCTCTGGTATATTTATTGGTAGATGAACAGAGTCGGGAGCAATTTTAGATAAAAGTTGTTTAACTGCTGATTCATCATTAATGATAATTTTTTTCTGAGACTGAATTTTATTTACCCTTTTCCAGATGTCTGATGAAGGGGTTTGCCTATTAAGAGAAGAGCAATACTGTACCCAGCTAGATTTAGCTTTTAAGCGAAAAGTACGTTTACACATAGCCTGATTTCTTTTATATTCATTAAAGTTTAAAAGAGTTAGATTAGATTTAAACTTTTTAAATGAATTTTTCCTTAATATTGAAGCAGCTAGGCACTCCTCATCCCACCACGGTGGAACTTTTACAGGTTTAGTTGAATGTTTAATTGGTGTGCAAGATTTGTTCGCTGCATTTGTAATAGAATCTAATAAGAATAAAATCATCTCGTTAGTATTATTAATAACTGGCTTCAATGTGAGCGCTTCCTCCATGGTAAGCCTGAATTGCTCCCAGTTAGCATCAGTCATCGACCACCTAACTGTAGATATAAACCTCATGTTTTCTATTTTAATATCATTGATAGACATTCGAATAGGAAAGTGATCGGATCCATATGTATCTTGTATAACAGTCCAGTCAAAAGTTGAGCATAAATTGGAAGATAAAATGGTGAGATCTACAACAGATTTGGCATGACCTGGAGGAGTAGCCCTAGTAGCCGATCCATCGTTTACGATAATTAAATGAGGAAAAGAATCCAAGGCTTCCACTAATATATTACCCTCTGAAGAACACGCATTTGATCCCCATAATCCATGGTGCGCATTAAAATCCCCAGAAATAATACAGTCATTGTTAATTTGAGAAAAAAGGTTGACATAATCTTGCACTGATACTTTTGTTTTTACTGGTCGGTATAAACTTAAAATCGTATACTTTTTTTTGTCAATACTAACGTTTACGCCACAAACTTCCAAGTTTTGATTGAAATTATTAACAAATGAAATAGGTTCGTAATTTATGTTATTTGATATAAGTATAGCTACTCCACCGTATCCGTTAGCTCTACTTTTACTTACTATATTAAAATTACAAAAAACAAACATTATCTGAGGGTTTGGACCAAGTTTCCGATAAAATTGCTATATCAAAATGTTCTTCAAGAAGTAACTGATGTAAAGAATATTTGTTAGCGTTAAGTGATCGAATATTCCACTGAATAATTTTGATACCTTTGATAGCCATGAATTTTAAGTAAAAAAGTTATTAACAACTTCTTTAACTTTGTTCTCAAATTCAATGTCATCGACTTTAAGATTAGGAGCCATATTTGGAGAAGCATTAACAAAATCTTGAAAGCTTTGTTTAATAAAATTTTTAAGGGTAACACTAAGCTGAGTGATAAATTTACTAAATTCATCTACAGGTTCAGGTTGTCCGAATTGGAATACGGGACCAGCACAGAAACTAGTCGGGAACTCTCTACGAAGAGGAGGGAAATTAATAGTGGTGTCGCTATTTTTTCTTTTTTTGTGAGGGCTAACTACCGGGGTTGAATGACGTTTGGGAATATTATTATTCTTATGAACTGTACCAGAATTGAACTGACGAGTAGAATCAAATTTTAGTGGGGGAAATTCCGTGTCAGAGTTGATTAACGGTGCAAATCTATTCTTCTGAACTAGGCTCGAATAACCTGGATTATCAGAAATTTTCTGAGCTTCCTTAAACGAAATGTTCAAGTTAGCCATAGTTTGTTTCGTTTTCCTCTGCTTAAGATATTCAGGACATTCCCTGAAAATTGATTCGTGACCACTATTTTGACAATGCACGCAAAAAGTATTACAGTTTTCAGGACAATCTTTATTGTCTTCCTTCCCACATTTTTTGCACCTTTTTTTTGATTTACATTGAGTAGCCGAATGACCATAACGCAAACACTGGTAACATTGCATGACCGGACTGACAAATACCTCGACCGGG